AACATCGTGTAAATGTTAAATAAATTATATATTACCTAAGGCATCTAATTTTATAGTGCGTGACACAACCTTGTAAAGCAATGCGGCGTGAAAATAGAATTTTATATAAAGTAGATCCGTTAAATTTGCAAAAAGATATCTTCAACGAACTAATGTACCGACTACAGAGCAATAAATTCAAAGCCACGTTTTTAGTTCAAGCATATAATGATGTCAATTTCTTCCGAGGTTACGTATTAATCGTATTCCTTTGACGAAAGCAAAACCTGGTACTTCATTCGTCCCTCATTTCTCGAATGCCCGGTAATAACTTCAAGTATAAAACCGGTATAATTTCAAATATAAATCCCCTCGGTTAAGGACGACCTGAGAATAGGAAAATTAGCCGTCACGCGTATCTCGCGTCGGAATTCCCCTTTAAAGTGATCGTTTTCCACTTTTGTGATTATTCTCAACGTAGCACGCGCAATTATCAGATAAGGCTGTTAACGGCATATTATCGATCAGTCACATTTAATTCGAACGAGCGGTGTTGCGGGCAAATAGGGCTGTTGCGACGAGGTCAAACGGAGAACAGTGAAGTTAGCGTTTTTTTAAAGCTCTCGGAGTGTCATGTGGCGAAACAAAGCTCTATCGAAAATTCATTCCAGATGCGATAAGCGCGATAAACACTTAGTACGCGTATAATTGAGTATTGGACGTTAAATAATCGTTCATCAGTAGCTTATATCGTGCCAAGCTCCAAACCTATCCAACGAATAATCGCCATCGCCGATACACGCAGTTGTTTCATTAACCACGCCGTAATTGAAGCATACCGTGCGTCGCGCCGCATAATCAGCGAATGTCAATAGCGGCAAGGTAGGGTGTTGAAACGTTCGCCGCAATATTACGAACTCGACGTGAGCTATCGAATTGTTGCGAGAGAATTCGAAATTCTCTCTATAATTCCCAACCTATTTGATATCGATTGAAATATCTGGAAGATAAATAGAACCATTCACTTATCGAACATCGATCTACCTTTTCCTATTACCGCCTCCCCCCTTTCACGGGGAATTTCATTAAACAACGCTAATGTTTTTTGCGCAACATTTTTATAAATCCTATTGAGAATACGAGGCATCGATTTTTGGGATAACATTATAGCGAATTTGTCTTGTATTATTTCTTCAATTCGTTATAACTCTGAACATATTTGTTGAACTTTGCGATGCCAAATATTTACTTCGGTTGAAATATTTTGAAGAACAAATGTTAAAGTTGTATATAAATACATTTACAGTAATACTGACGTCACTTTCGCAGGAAAAAAATATATTGTTAAAATGTATACAATAGTACATTATTAATGCAGAAATGTATTTCAAAATAATAATTTAACAACTTCCGAGAAATTGTGGCACGCGTTCCAGCTTTACACGATAGTGTTTTACATAATGTACTTTAAAGGGATACGCTTACAAAGAATAAACGTTGTAAACTCGTTCTTCGTACGTAATCTTACATTCGCTACCCTTTATCGAACGCGATAAAGCTGTTTCCTGTTCCGATCTTCCTATCCGGCTGTTCCACTCTCACGTTTTCAATCCTCTCTATCACCGTGGCACCACGTTCACTTCGGATTTCGCTTACGGGCCACGTTAGTCAGAAATCGTTGCTCAGCCCAACGCACACGAATCGTCGCGCCGGAAACGAATAGGGGCCACTCGAGCCGCGGCGGGGCGGACTTTCCAATATTTCCTCGATAACTTCCACGACGAAGGATAATTCGTTTTCAGGCCATTGGACCGCGAAAAGCATTCGCTTCGTTGCCTCTCATCGTGGGACACGACGAGGATACAGGGTGACACGCGGACCCTGCGACACCTGAACCCGTTCAGGACCGCCCTCGAGAGAAGTGCGTTCGCGCGTGGGATTGCGCGTTTCGCCTCTCGACTGACGTCTCGACGCACGTTTCGCACGCGTCAAAGTCGTCCACAACTTGTCGAGTACGCACACAAACGCAATTAGAAATGCAATCTTGCCGCGTGCAAATTGGATAAACACGATTTGAGTAATGATACGTACACTGAACTTTAATCACTTGAAAAAGAGAACAAAATTTAATGAGTAAAATAAAAATTGTAGTACAAAAGTACTACAATATAATTAAGCACCCTCTCGTTACAAAACATAAGCAAAGGTTCTTATTAGAATATTAATAATTATTTTTGAAATGTTTTTGATTCGGTGACATATCGAGCATCGACTGCAATATTGCGAGAATAAGAATGATGTAACAACAAGCTACAATGAGCAAAATGAGCAGTTATACAGCGAGTTATATTATTTTCACTTCAATAATTTATTACAACACAAGGGGTATCAGAGGCGCGATCGTTGAGCGTTTTAAATCACGCAAATGATGCCTTGTAATTAAAGATAAAGATTTATGGTTGCACACGAAATTACATGGTTGCAATTGGTCACGCCATTTATTGTAGCTCTATGTATTAATATCCGTCACAACAATTTCGTTGACCTCATTGCAAACATTGTTCGACAAATCATGGCTCAAACAATTAGAATTAAATTACCGATTCATCAAATATCGATGATTGCTGCATACTGATAATGTAAACAAATACTTTAATTTAAATATTAGAAGAGCAGAGCTATTTAGCAAATTAGATTTTAAATGAAAATAGATAACAAACATAGTTTTTAATTCGATTTCTCAATAATTTTGATTGAGCGAAGAACTTTTATTTGATTTTTAAGAGGGAAATTAATTAATTAATATTTTCCTCGATATTTCTATATTCAAAAAATTCACACAGATGAAAAATTCACAGTTGAAACTGCGCAAACACAGTACAGTACAGTATAATATGACGACGTTAATAGAATCGGCAAGGAAATACGTCGCGACGTACCAATTTAGCGTAAATAGGTATTAATAGATACGTTCTAGTCGGGTGGAGTCACATTCTTCGAAGTTCACGCGTGGCGTTCGAACTTGCGATACTTTAAACTTGCATGTTTACTCGACCGAGCCGGCTGAAATGCGAGATACATTCTCGTCAATGTATGCGGATCCAGCTGACAACGCGATAACTCATTCGTACCGGCGTTTTCAATCATGGTTTCCGTGTTGATCACGACGGGCCCCGTCGAAACATACAGGTACCCGGTTCCTTCTACGAAACACAGCAGTAAATTTCTACATCTACATGACTGCGCGAAAGCTACCTCGACCTCTCGCCCGCAGGAAACCTTGCGCGGCACAGCGTGGCATTATAATATACGAGAGGCGTAATAAAATATTATAACGAGGTCCTTGTTAAGCGACGGCGGCGTGGGGCGCCGCGCCGCACTTTGCAGGACCGGCTCTAGTTTGTTTAGACACCGAATAATCGACAGTCACTCCTCTTCGTTTTGTTCTCGCAAGGTCTTCACGTCTTTCTCTCTCCTTCTCTACCTTCTCCTCCCTCTTTTTCTCCTACTTCTT